AATAGGGACATAAACCCAAGAAATCAAAGAGCACTTACCCTCCTAGGGCTCCTTTTAGAGTGCTCTTTGATTCTGTTTACCCTAGGTCAAAATCCAAACCTGTCGAAAGGGACTCAAACAATAGGGTCCTTTTAAAGGGGTTAAAGGGGGATATATAGGGATATATGGGGATTTTTTCAGGGTCCAAGGATTCAAACAATGGGGTATGAGGTCCCAAGTACAATAAATCTGAATGGTATTTGGGCCCTATAGCCCTATTATTTGAGTCACGGTCAAAGTTACCGTGTATTTCATTTAGTCTAGGCGGTAATTGTTGCTCAAAAGTCCCCAAGATCGATAGGGGACGTCCTGAAACTATAGGCTTAATTCATTGAAGCCAGGTTTAAGAGATCCCCCAGACGTGGAAATCGATAGGGGACGCCCTAATTCAAAAACCAATAGAGGCCCAACAAGTAATTTTGACACCACCCCATTTGGGTCCTTGGACCCTTCGGATTTCTTATTGGTCTAGTTAAGGGGCTTAGGACTTATTAGTTAGGGGTTTAGGGTTTCAGGATTTTAGGATTAGGGTTTAAGGTTTAGGGTTTAGGGTTATTAGTTGAGAATTGTTTGTTTCTATCGGTTAAGTATTTCGGTGACTTCTGTGCCTTGTTAGTAGGGTTGGAATTATTGTTCCTAAGATCGACAGAAAGGAAGGGCTTGAGGGGTTTGGGGGTGTTTGGTTCTGAAGTTAATGTGTGCTTTTGTGTTTAAGTTGCTGCCGAACCCTTCCAAAAATGGTTCCCACAGCGTCCATCTCCCAAGATCCTTGTATGGTTATTCGTCTTCTTCTTATATCCAATTACGGGACCACAAATCAAAGTCCTAGGGTAACTCCGGCCCTTGACAGTTAAAGGTCCAAATACCCCCCAAATGCGGCTTTCCATTCGGATCATAGCTTGTGGGACCTAACCCTCAACCCCAAACCCTAAACCCTGATTTTGTGGCCCCTCTACAGTTCAGGCTCCCTCTGGGACCCTAAACCTTAAACTCCTAGACCCTAAGCCCTAAGCCTCGAACCCTATAAAGCCTGAAACCTATAAACCCCATACACGCTGAACCCTAAACCCTATAAGACCCTATATTCACCTACCCTGCAGCCTGAGGTAGACCAAGGTCCACCTACCTAGAAAGCTAAGCTATCAATTAGGGTTTAGGGTGTAGGATTTAGGGTAGGGTTCAGGGTTTTGTTATCAAAAAAAGGGGGCCGCTCTCAGGCTCTGAGATGCGTTTGGGGCTTGCAGGGATCATTCTGGTGTTTAGGAGTTCCGGGTGCACGATCTGGGGTTACAGTTCAACTTATGGATTCGGGTGCAGGCCCTAAACTTAAATGCGATGTTCAAAGCTTAGGGCTTTGACCCCTTAGGCTTTGAACCCTAAACATTAATTCCTAAATGCTAGGACCTTGAAGCCCTTAGGCGTTTCGGGTTTAGGGGCTTAGGGCTTCGAGCTTAGGTTTTATGATTTGGGTTGGGGGAGGGATCATAAAGGATTTGGGGTCTCCCAATTCTCGTCCTTGCTTGCTGCAGGGTGTAGCGGGAAAGGGTGGGTGAGTGTTTCGGTTCTAGGAATTAATGTTACCCTGACATGAATAAACACCCCCCCAGAACTTGTTTTGCGATTTGGGCTTATGGAAGTGGGGGGGGGTCGCAATAATAAATCACGTGGACACGGGTAGGACCGGGTAGTGCAGCTCGTAATACTCGTAGGACAAGTAGAAGGGAATCTATTAAAATCGGGACGTTGCCGGCCGGACAATAATCTTATTGCCACCCCTTTATTATTGCGATTTGGACTTAAGTAGACCTTGTCGGGCTCAAAACTTGTTAGAAAGCAAATTTGATTGTACGGGANNTTCCGGTCCGGCAACAAAACGTTATTGCCACCCCTTTATTGATGCTATGGTAACATTAGGGTTTAGGGTTTAGTTGTGTATAGCTGAAGGGTTTCAGAGGACATTGTGTAAGGAGGCCAATAACGGGTATAGCTGGGTTGGTTACATGGCATACAGGGAATATAAGTATGCTACTCAGCCCCCCTGCATCCCGAACCCGAAGCCCTGAACCCCAAACCCTACACTTACCATAAAACCTAGACCCTAAACCCTGGACCCTAAACCCTACGCTTACCTTAAACCCTAGGCCACAAACCCTAAACCCTACACTTACCAGGCCCCCTGACCCTTCAAGTAGGTTTAGGCTTCGAGGCTTTCGGGTTGGCAAGATATGGAGTCATTTCGAGAAAGCTGGGTTCGGGGTTTAGGGTTGGGGTTTATGGTTCAGGTTGGGGTTAGGGTTTATGGTTTTGAGGTGGGGGGTTCGGGGTTGAAGCCTGGACGTTGTATAGAGCCGCATAGGACTGCGTGTTGATACTAAGAAATCTCGGGTCCTTCCATGGGAGTTCTTGCAATTCAACACATTCCTATCTATGTAGAGGAGGCTTTGTTAGGGCCAAGCATATATGGAAGCCCTCATAGGGCGGATAGAGGAACTCTTGCATCATGTAGTATCCCGAGCAGATGAATTATTACTTATAGGTTGCAAGGTAGACAAGGTGGTGCAAGATTTCCTCCATCCACAGTAATGTGTATCAAATGAAGCTCTTTGGAGGTTGGTTGGGTGCGGCCCTCAACGAAGGGTTTGGTGGTTTGGGAGCATATTCAAACAAATGAACCCTAAGGGTCCAAGGACCCAAATATTAGGGCTTTAGGTCCCAAACACCATTCAGATTATAGTATCTGGGCCCTAAACCCACATTATTGGGGTCCTTGGACTCTTAGGGGAACAAAGTTGATGAACTTTGCGATGCCCTCGTTTGAGAAGTTAAGGGTTGAGGGTTACTACCAACTTCTTGGGACTTAGCTTGGACCATAGATCGTAAACCCTAAACCCTATTATAGGTACCTACAGGTTCACCCTTCGTAGGGGTCCTAAGTGCCACGTAGTAGACATGACTTCATCTGCGCGCATTCAGCAGCGAATGGAGGAACGAATGGTTTAGGGTTTAGGGCCCATAATAAATGTAGTTTGCAGTTTCTTTGGGTTTCCTAGCCCCAAACTCTGAAGTTCTGAAGGACAGATTCCATTTTCTTGTCCCTTCCTGAGCCTTAAGCCCTAGGCCCTAAATCCTAAGTCCTACACCCTACATTGTCATAAAGTGTAGTCTGCATTTTCTTGTCCGTGCTCTCCTAAGCACCAGCAAGTCACTGCTTATCACTGGCAGCGTCACAGTTGGTGTCAGTTTTTGCGGGTCTGGGATTTTTTAGTGCTCATGGTTTAGTTGCCTATACATCATATACATCAGAACCAAATAACCCCCTGCGCTGTATACTGAAGCCACCCACCAATATTGAATTTTACCCGTTTATTGTGGTATATAGTAATAGGCAATTCAAATAGCAGGGGAGGGGATTAGAACAGTGCATTCTGTCCTACCGATTTTGATATGCATGGCAAAGAAGCGTCGTGCGGAGGCTTAGCCAAAGCCCTACATCTTGAACCTTGAGCCCGAACTCTTGATCACAATCCCTAAATCCCAAATTCTAAATTCCCTTAATCCTAAATCCTAAGCACCCTATAGAATCCCGTATACACCCTATATATCCCTTCAAAGGCCTTAAAGCCTAAGCCCTCGCCAGGTTTTGAAGAAGCCTGCCACCAAGCGCTGATGGAGACGTGGACACCAGATCCTCGACGCCGGTTAAACCCTAAACCTGAATCCCTAAACCCTGCATGAGCCTAAACCCCATATAAACCTACATAATCCTATATATTCCTATCTAATCCTATATAATGATCCCCATCTCCCCTTAAAAAGTAGCCTAATCCGTTAAGGGGACTCCAAGGTCGGACCAACCATAGGCCCCTAGCGTGGCCCGTAACTATGGGCCCTCCATTGGGATGGTTGGGATTTTCGGATTTAGGGTTTTAGAGTTTAGGGTTTAGGGCTTGCGGATTTAGGTTTTCGGATTGAGGGTTTAGGGTTTAGGATTTAGGATTTAGGGTTTTAGGATTTAGGATTTAGGGGGGTTTGTACGGGGTGTATAATAGGTATATAAGCACCCCAGAACTAGAGGTACATGGTGCTTACGGTTTGGGGTTCAGGGTTGAGGGCCCCCCATGTTAGGGGCCCGTGCTTCTACTCTTAGATCACGGGGAAGATAGCCCAGGTTTAAGCAACCCCACACGCCAAACCTCCACCCCCAAACCCTAAAGTATGTTTAGAGCTTTCCAAGACAAAAGCTCGGGGTCCTTGGCTGTGGTACTGGGTAGGCCCCTGGGATATTGAATATTTTCCCTAATGGCTTTAAATAAGGGACCCTAGATACTAGTATTTTTTGAAATGTTTTAGGGGCCAACGCAGGGTATAGGTCCAGGTAGGGTTCAGGGTTTTGGGTTTTGGGGTCTTCGACCAAAGCCAGGGCTGAGGGGCTTAAGAGCAAGTTGCGACTGTGCGCTTCAGTCGTTGGGCCTTCGACAAATAGAGAGGCCTGCAGTTTGGGCTTTAGGGTGGATGACGGAAATCTTGCACAACTCACCGGCCCAAAATGTTCTTTGACCCACCTTGGAAGTCTTATGAAGTACTACGGTGGATACTAACAATCCTGAATGACCCTAAATACCTTAAACCTTGGGAATAATGCTACTATTGTATTCTAAGGTCATGCAGGATTTTTAGTATCAATAGTAGTGAGCATTAGGGCGTATTGGGAACGAACTCTGACGCTCAAACGGGGTCTACGTTTGATTCTGCCCGTGGCAAACTGCCACATTGGGAGCTTGAAAAGCCTTTAAGACCCGATTCTTTTGTCCATATGACTCATGCTCCATGGTGGCCTCTTGACCTGCGGCACAAATGTCCGCAATTTTTTATTGTGTTTATGATTGTCATGTACCGTCATGGACCCTAACCCCTATAAACCCTAAGCCCTTAAACCCTAAACCCTAAAAACGCTATCGCGAACCCGCCTCGGCTGTTGGAGTGCCACACAAAAAAGCTTTCGCAAAGCCAGAGGGTTTAGGGTTTGGGGGGGGGCCGAGGGCAGCGGAAATTGCTCAAAAGCTCCAAAAAATGTTAGCGGTTCCTACTTCCAAGCTAAGCCTTGAGCCCTACTGGGAGAGTAAAGGGTCGTAAGTTTGCTAGAAACCCTTCACACTGCAGAATGACCCAGTTATCCCCTTGTAAACCTAAACCCTGAACCCTCAACCCGAAATCCTGAACCCGAAGCCCTGACCCACAAACCCTAAACCCTAAAACCCTAAAAAACCCAAACCCTAAACCCTAAACATACGTTAGCCTACTTACTCAGCCTGCGCCCCTAAGTACAGTCCTGGGCTTCAGGGCCGTAAAGAGCTTCCATGCCTAGGGTTTGGGGTCTAGGGTTTAGGGTTCAGGGTTTTAGGGTTTTGGGGTGTAGGGTTTAAGGGTCTAGGGTTTAGGGTTCGGTTTCCAGGGTTTAGCGTTTATATGATTTAGTTTTAGGGTGCAGGGTGTAACCTAGTATTATGTACAAGGCTTAAAGGTATGCCTGGCTGCGCAAAATAGTGGCCAAAATGGTACAAAGTGCGGCGAAAGTGGAGTTTAACAATGGGCTATTGGCTGTCTGGGCAGGCTTTAGGGATTGGGGGCCAGAATTTAGAGCCTAGGGCAGACATGACTTTCACGTATCCTTGTGCAAGCCCTAAACCCTAAACCCTAAACCCTAAGCCTAAACCTCCTAAACCCTAAACCACCTTGCTAGTCCGAACCCCACAGTTGACTCCAAAGCCTGAACCCTAAAGCCCTTAACCCTTAAACCCTTAAACTGTAAACCCTACAACCAAAACCCTGTAAGCGTAAATCCTACAACCTAGAACCTTGAAACCCCGAAACTGTAAACTCTACGGCCGTAGAGCCGTAAACTCTACAACCTAGAGCCTTTAATCACCAAAACTGCAAACTCCAACCTCAAACCCTAACCCGAACCTAGAAAGCCAGTAGCCCAGAATTACAGTCTACTGTGCCCAAATCTTCTCAGATAAAGTAGCTCACTATCATGGCGATTTAGATTTCTAGGAACACACTAAGCCTTGATGTCACCTCCTAGACCCTCCTTCTACCCTCTATTGGGGCCGAGGGGACCCTAAACCCTAAACCCCAATTGAAGGGTACAAGGAGGGTCCTGGCTGTCAGGACAATAATCGCCGCCCAGCTCGACTTCGATCTCGTGTCTGAGTGTCGGGTTGACGTGGCCGAGTCATCGCACATCTGAAGCAAGTAACCTACGGTTTAGGGTTTAGGGTTTGGGCTACGGTGCAGGGCTTTGGGACCCTAAACTATAAGCCCAAGCCGTATAATGTAGACAAGCAACCGGGGGTTTCGATGCGCATGTTAACATTAGGAGGCTTCTTTTTTTGGTTGGTTTACGTCGGGTTCCAGAGTTTTGGGTTTAGGGTTTGGGGGTTTGTAGGATTTAGGGTTTTAGATTTCAGGTTCTCAAGGGTTTAGGGGTTAGGGTATCACATCCATTTGCGCCAGAAGTCCCCCACCCCTATAAACCCTTACACTCAGCCCTACACCCAGCTCTTATCGCGGTTTTCAAGCGCCATCAGGGAGTCTTTGTATAATACAGACTATAGAATGTTGACCCTAACAAGTAGTTTCCATTCTATTTTCCATTATCCCAATGCCAAGATTACCCCAATTTACTATGGTAGTTTTCATTTTCTTGTCCATTAACCCTATAACCCCTAATATAGCCTAGTCGGGAAGCTTTGTGTATGCGGGACCCCTTTATACGAAATCCCGGACTGGCATCTGTTCATAGGCCAGGACAGGAGGGAAGTTAGATAGGTTTAGGGTTTTGGGCAATTCTTTACTTGCGGCTGAGGCTCAAGTGCCTAGGAATAGAGAAATTAGCCCACACTCATGGTCTATTTTCCGCTATTTCATTTTGCGATTGATAAAGTAGCCTATAATTGTAGTCTGCTTGTGCTTTGTAGGTAAGAGCTATTTCAAATGTCCGCGCTACAATGTGACATGGCGGTGCTTCGGGCCGCAGCACTCTGGGGGCAAGCCCTGTGAGTGCGAGGGTAACCTGCGCAGAACAGCCGCAGGTCCTTATCCTCTCCAGGGGGTCGTGGACGTTCTTGAGAGCAAGTTTCTGTTTAGGGGTTTAGGGTTTAGGGTTTAGGGTTTCTGGGGCAGCTTCGTAACATCTAGGGTTTAAGGTCGTGGTATTTCTAAAAACATTTTTCGCGCTTTCGTGAATGTGGTTGTTCGTTTGCGGCAGATGCCATCGTAAACACCATACTGCTCTGGGATAATAAGGCCGAACCCCATTTTCGGAAACCACGAAACCCTAATCCATGTGGGGGGTGGAATAGAAGACATAGTAACCAAAAGGGTCCAAGTGCTCGAAATTTGCGGCTTTGCGTGCCAAAGGCCGAAAACCATCAAGATTACGCAGCATTCGGGACCTAATTTTGATACCTGGACCTCAGCTTTTAGCGTTTGGGATCTGCAAGACTGCTACTTGGAGAATTGGACCCTAGGTACTGCCCCTAAACCCCTAAACCCTACACATTGTCGTCGCTTTGTTGAAGTTTCAGTCTTCTCCCCATGCAGCCAGGGGTTTGATAGGGTGTAGGTTCAGGCCTAGATTTTATCCAATTACAGTACGGAGAACAATGCGGACAGACCGGCTTACTTGAGTTTTGTTCAGGTTTTTTTCAGGGTTCGGGCCCTAAACCCTAAACCCTAAACCCTAAACCCGCTTAGGATTCGGTTGAGGGTTTATAGGGGTTATGGTGTTACGTCGAGTCCTAAACGGTGACCGGCTGCATGTCAAGGTTGGGTTTACGTTTGTCTGAGGGTTCGACACTCTACTTACTTAGCCAAATAGTAGAACTTTAACCTTTTTTGGGCTTCCTTTTTGGGTTTTTTATAATACAGTTTAAACTTGTTTAGCCTTGGTTATTGGGGAAGAGAGTTTATGAGCTATAGTTTGGACTCCTTGAACAGGCGATTATACAAGGGAGTATCATAGGGCTTATCAACGGGGATACTTGGAGTTTAGACTACATGGTTCTGATGGGTTCTCCTAAGCAGCCCCCCCCCCTCACTTCTACTCCCCTATTCCCCACCACCCGCAAGGTTCACCCTAATTCACTTCCATGCACTGAATAGGCCCAAACATGAACTTTACCCTACAACCCTCAGCCGGGTCGTTCGCATAGAGGAGGGTAGTCAGGTAACCCACGAGCACCTCCTTTAGCTGCCAAACTCGCCTGCCAGTAACCCTACTTACCCAGACCCCCTAAAGGTTCCAAAAAATGGAACCGCCCCAATTAGATTCCCTCCAAGATGTGATAGGGAAAATGTTGGGGGGTTCCACGCTTTGGATCCTTTAGGGGGTCTGGGTACTGGGGCTCAGATAGCGTCTAGGGTTTAGGGTCTAGGGTTAGTAGGGGACAAGGGGAGATGTTATACAGGGATGATCTTCTTATTCCTACGAACTTCAAAAACGCCTTGATTTCATAATTTGCCAATGATCGGTTCCATGGAGCCTTTAGGGTTTAAGGGTGGGGAATTTTCTATGTCTGGCACAATAACTATGCTGGTATCCCCGTGAAGGAACATACATGTCGCCAAAGAGGCGTTCTCAAAGTGAGTTGTTTACCCACCCTG